ATTAATGTGTAATTCAGTGTAGACAAATAGACGGAATGGCGCATTTGCTGCAATAATGTGTTTGAACTGTGTACCGTAGTTCAATGTAGACAAATAGACGGAATGGTGCATTTGCTGCAATATTGTGTATTAATGTGTAGTTCAGTGTAGACAAATAGACGGAATGGTGCATTTGCTGCAATATTGTGTATTAATGTGTAATTCAGTGTAGACAAATAGACGGAATGGTGCATTTGCTGCAATATTGTGTTTGAATGAACTGTGTAGTTCAGTGTAGACAAATAGATGGAATGGCGCATTTGCTGCAATAATGTGTATTAATGTGTAATTCAGTGTAGACAAATAGACGGAATGGCGCATTTGCTGCAATAATGTGTTTGAATGAACTGTGTAGTTCAGTGTAGACAAATAGACGGAATGGCGCATTTGCTGCAATATTGTGTTTGAATGAACTGTGTAGTTCAGTGTAGACAAATAGATGGAATGGCGCATTTGCTGCAATAATGTGTATTAATGTGTAATTCAGTGTAGACAAATAGACGGAATGGAGCATTTGCTGCAATATTGTGTTTGAATGAACTGTGTAGTTCAGTGTAGACAAATAGACGGAATGGAGCATTTGCCAATATTGTGTTTGAATGAACTGTGTAGTTCAGTGTAGACAAATAGACGGAATGGTGCATTTGCTGCAATATTGTGTATTAATGTGTAATTCAGTGTAGACAAATAGACGGAATGGCGCATTTGCTGCAATAATGTGTATTAATGTGTAATTCAATGTAGACAAATAGACGGAATGGTGCATTTGCTGCAATATTGTGTATTAATGTGTAGTTTAGTGTAGACAAATAGACGGAATGGCGCATTTGCTGGAATATTGTGTTTGAATGAACTGTGTAATTCAGTGTAGACAAATAGACGGAATGGTGCATTTGCTGCAATATTGTGTATTAATGTGTAGTTCAGTGTAGACAAATAGACGGAATGGCGCATTTGCTGGAATATTGTGTTTGAATGAACTGTGTAATTCAGTGTAGACAAATAGACGGAATGGAGCATTTGCTGCAATATTGTGTTTGAATGAACTGTGTAGTTCAGTGTAGACAAATAGACGGAATGGTGCATTTGCTGCAATATTGTGTATTAATGTGTAGTTTAGTGTAGACAAATAGACGGAATGGTGCATTTGCTGGAATATTGTGTTTGAATGAACTGTGTAATTCAGTGTAGACAAATAGACGGAATGGAGCAATTGCTGCAATATTGTGTTTGAATGAACTGTGTAGTTCAATGTAGACAATTAGATGGAATGGCGCATTTGCTGCAATAATGTGTTTGAACTGTGTACCGTAGTTCAATGTAGACAAATAGACGGAATGGTGCATTTGCTGCAATATTGTGTTTGAATGAACTGTGTAGAACAGTGTAGACAAATAGATGGAATGGCGCATTTGCTGCAATAATGTGTTTGAATGAACTGTGTAGTTCAGTGTAGACAAATAGACGGAATGGTGCATTTGCTGCAATATTGTGTATTAATGTGTAATTCAGTGTAGACAAATAGACGGAATGGAGCATTTGCTGCAATAATGTGTTTGAATGAACTGTGTAGTTCAGTGTAGACAAATAGACGGAATGGTGCATTTGCTGCAATATTGTGTATTAATGTGTAGTTCAGTGTAGACAAATAGACGGAATGGTGCATTTGCTGCAATATTGTGTATTAATGTGTAGTTTAGTGTAGACAAATAGACGGAATGGTGCATTTGCTGGAATATTGTGTTTGAATGAACTGTGTAATTCAGTGTAGACAAATAGATGGAATGGCGCATTTGCTGCAATATTGTGTATTAATGTGTAGTTCAGTGTAGACAAATAGACGGAATGGTGCATTTGCTGCAATATTGTGTTTGACTGCACTGTGTGTGCACTTTGTAGACAAATAGACAAAATGGAGGAAAAAACAGTGTACAAGTTCTGACAGCTCCCTCAAGTACCGGTAGTGATTCCAGAACTTAATGTTACGTTTGGACAACAAAAAAGTGTTGTAATCTTCAACACTAGTAAGATTAGGGATTTATATATATCATGAATCTATGGTAACCAATATCACAATATGTCAATTTAGAGGTTTATTTAATTTGATGTACATGTATTTTTTACTCTCATTTTGTAATATGAAATACAACAATGACAGATTTCATATGTGACAAGGCAATAGTCAATAACTGAAACCAGCATAACAATTAGCATGAAGCCCCAGTTTCCAATCTAAATGGGAGTCAATACAAATATACTTACAACACTGTGCCTGATTGGCTACCAAACACTAACACCTAACTGTCGAACCAATCAGAGAGCAGCTTGTTTGTGGACATGTTTTTTGGCGTATCATATTCTGCTTGTATGTATAATGCTTCAGCTCAACTAAATAAAAAACCTCAGAGATACATTGCTACTTAAAAATATCATAATTTAAAAAAAATATACATATATTAAGTTAAATAAAATAAGGTCTTGCAAGTGGAAGCATAATTTGGAAAACAAATATTTTTATATAAATAGCTAGGAGAAGAATTGTGCAATTATAAAGAGGATTGTGCAATTATAAAGCGGATTGTGCAATTACAAATGCAAGAAAATGCAAGATTATATAAATTTAAATAATACATGTAAACCCAAACTGACACTCATTGAATGAAAAATCAAGGATGTATAAGATAAGGTCACACAACTTTGATATCTATGCTCATACATTTACAGAGATATTCCATTAGCATTAATCTAATATGTTTTAACCAATGGAATAAAATGGTTGATAGTGGTAGCAGAAATGGATGGTTAAAAAGGTTGATAGTGGTAGCAGAAATGGATGGTTAAAAAGGTTGATAGTGGTAGCAGAAATGTATGGTTAAAAAGGTTGATAGTGGTACTGTAGCAGAAATGGATGGTTAAAAAGGTTGATAGTGGTAGCAGAAATGGATGGTTAAAAAGGTTGATAGTGGTAGCAGAAATGGATGGTTAAAAAGGTTGATAGTGGTACTGTAACAGAAATGGATGGTTAAAAAGGTTGATAGTGGTAGCAGAAATGAATGGTTAAAAAGGTTGATAGTGGTAGCAGAAATGGATGGTTAAAAAGGTTGATAGTGGTAGCAGAAATGGAAGGTTAAAAAGGTTGATAGTGGTAGCAGAAATGGATGGTTAAAAAGGTTGATAGTGGTAGCAGAAATGGATGGTTAAAAAGGTTGATAGTGGTACTGTAGCAGAAATGGATGGTTAAAAAGGTTGATAGTGGTAGAAGAAATGGATGGTTAAAAAGGTTGATAATGGTACTGTAGCAGAAATGGATGGTTAAAAAGGTTGATAGTGGTAGCAGAAATGGATGGTTAAAAAGGTTGATAGTGGTAGCAGAAATGGATGGTTAAAAAGGTTGATAGTGGTACTGTAGCAGAAATGGATGGTTAAAAAGGTTGATAGTGGTAGCAGAAATGGATGGTTAAAAAGGTTGATAGTGGTAGCAGAAATGGATGGTTAAAAAGGTTGATAATGGTACTGTAGCAGAAATGGATGGTTAAAAAGGTTGATAGTGGTAGCAGAAATGGAAGGTTAAAAAGGTTGATAGTGGTAGCAGAAATGGAAGGTTAAAAAGGTTGATAGTGGTAGCAGAAATGGATGGTTAAAAAGAAAAACTACTAACTGAAAGAAATAACGATTGCTTTCACATACATTTAGTATTTCTCTTTTTTGTAATTGTGTAACCATCTCACAATTGCTGTGACTTCATCATACATCACATGCTTATCTTATGTAAATCCTTGAAATAGAAAAGCATACAGAATGTAATAGCTGAACCTATCATGGCATAAAATTTAAAAAAAAAAACAGACCAATGCTTCCTTACATTCGTCTTGATGGGCAGACTAGTAATAAAAGGCAAGGTGGTAAAAACAAATATTCACTTTTTTGCAGTACTATGCATATTACTTTGAAATAGCTCACAGCATTATGAACGAAGGAATATTAATTTTCAGGACCAGTGTACTTTTAAATTTCTATAAACAGATAACATACATATAACTTAACATTTGTCATCAATTAAATTGATTGCTGATGTTTTATGATTGTTGACATAAATGTTTAATAAAACACCAACATGACAGACTCTGAACAACAAGCTGTTTATTACTAACATATAGAATACTCATAATAATGAGCAAAATTAATTTTCAGCCTTGCTCAGTTAATCAGAGTTTCAAAAAATTGCATATTGGTGTGGTCTATTACATATGAGTAGAATTAAAATGTTTTGAAAGCTAGTTTAGAAATGTCTGACAATATACATATTATATCGTTTGTGATACAGCAACAAGGCGATGAATACCAGTACAAAAGCCAGCCCAAAATAGAAATTTATCTGTAGATTCCATAATACCATTGAGAGAGATGTTGTTACTAACATGGCACATGTGATGATGAACAGACGAATAATATTACTGGTATGTTTCATGACTGCTGACATGATAAGACCAAGCATAGCCTGCAAAAAGAAATAATAATAATATAAGCAATCTCAAATTGATATATTGTACGGGTTGAATTTAATTTTATTTCATATATTTTTATTATTTTGTAATTGTTTCTATTATTATTATATACATCTTATTTTTTATTACTTTAACTATCACCTTGTGGGATTTTGAGATTACCAAAACTTTTAAAAAACTGCCAGAAAATAAAATAAAAAGACAGTGTATGATAAAAATAAATAATTAAAAACATGTTTAAAAAAAAATATTGCAGCATTAAGTTCAAATTCAATTAATCAGCTCCATTGGAAAGCAGTACTGTAGTTAGAAACAATGCACCCCAGTGATAGGAATTCACTCTTGTTCGGCAAAGACGCTAAAAGTAATGTCATCAAGACGATGTCTTGTTCACCTTATAAAATTCTATGGTAACAGTTTTGGGTGATTCTATTTGATATTTTCAATTTTCTAGTTACGAGCACATTCAATATTGCAAATTTAACATTGAAAAATTTAAATTTAAATTTGTAGTATTTTGCTATGAAATTAGAGAATATTTAGCATTCACCAGTTCAAGATCTATTTCGCATCAGTTATTTAGAAAATCAAATCCTATGGTGTTTGACAGTAGTGGCATCATCTAATTTGCATATTCCACACAAGTCAGACTACAGTTCTTGTTAGTCAATTTTGTCATGGTCACTTTTGTGATTCTCAGATTATGCCGGAGATAGTGCATCATATTGTTATATTGATAATTTTTTCTTAATAAATATCAACACAGTAATACCATAATTTTTGTACCATACTTTTCCGACTTAGCACCCATGCTGGAGTAAGCACCAACCCCCATTTGGGGGGGGTCTGATTTTGGGTTGACGCAGAGGTCTGATTTAGTGTCCACCTTTTCAGAAAGGCCCTAAATTAGACTGTCAAGTCATGAAACCCAGTTTTACGTTTTTGAATAAAGACAGTATCCATTGTGACTATCCTAAATGGGGTGTGAAAGGGTAAACTACAGTGTGACGTGTCTTGAATAGTGTTAATTATACTTCTTCTTATCACCTTTAAAACAAAATTAAGGCCACTTTTTTGACAAAATCAGTGGCAATAGATGGTAAATTCATTTCCATATTGTGCCATGAAAAATAACATCATCAAAATTGCATTAGTTTGATCGGTTTATAACAGTCTAGATCTGGATGGCATTGTTGCAGGTCAAATCATGCAGAAAAACATTTTGGTGGAAATTGCTTTGCATAAAAAATATTCAACAAGCTCTTGACATTTTTACACCATGAATTCTGATTGTATGTAAATAATATTGTAATAAATCTACACACGTTTTGTGCAAATTTCTGTTCCTTGTGTAGATCAAGCAA